TTTAGAATTCTAATCTAAGTTTATTTGACAGTGTCATGGAATCAAGAGAGGCATTTATCTGTACATATTTCTTCACCTGTATATTCTGGAAACATAACTACCATCATATGGACATTCTTAGATATCTATAATCTCAGCACTTTGGAGGCTGAATGAGGAGGATCATTTGAGCCAGAAGTTAGAGACCAGCCTGGGCAATACAATGAGACCTCATCTCTGCAAGAAATTAAAAAAATTAGCTAGGCATGGTGGTGCATGCCTGTAATGCCAGATATTCAGGAGGCTGAAGAAGGAAGATTGTGTAAACCCAGGATTTGGAGGCTGCAGTGAGCTAGGTTCTGGCTACTGTATTCTGGCCTGGGTGGCAGAGCAAAAGCTTGTCTCTCTCTCTTAAAACAAACAAAAATCACCACCAACAAAAATGTTCTTATAAGTCAAATAGTGGTCAGGACTAGCTGTTGGCATAATCATAAGTAATTGAAAATTTTACCATTAAGTATTGGGGAGAGACTCCTTAAATATAGAGGGGATGAGGCACATGGGATACAGGTGACCCTTCTGTGCCACAGACCTGGATAAGATTCTTAACTCTGGCAGCTCTGGCCTGAGGGAGTATAGTTCCTTGCGTGGTTTCTCTGAGAAAGTGCAAAGAGGAGATGGTTTTCTTTTTGCTCTGAGGCTTCTTAATGCGCCTCTGAAATATGTCCTGGTGGGGCTGTCTGGAATTTTCCAGAGTAGTGACTATAGCTCTTTCCTCAAAGACATGAATGCTCAGACTGCAGAGCTTGGCTTTCTTAGTGGATCTTGGGGATAGGGATCCGTTTTCTGCAAGTGCTCTATGGCATCACGTTCAATTCAGGAATTGGATACGTTCTAACCCAGGATCTTGTACTCGCCTGCAAGTATAAGATCCTGGTTTAGAAATGTATCAAATTATTGTTCTCTATGTAGGGGGCAGGGGTGAGTTCCTTTCCTGAAAGTAAAGATTGCTTTTGGCCTTATGACTTTGTCTTTTTAAATGTTAAAAATCATTGCTGAGTGTTATATGCAAAATAAAAAAAAAAATGGTTCTGTACAAAAGGAACCGAGAAGATCCCTGCACTTTCCAAGCACAATATTACTTAAAGTATCTGACCTAGAAAAAGCACAATGCCATAAAAAATACTCAGAGCAAAAAGAATCTACTACAATCACAAGAAACTCATTCCAGATCTTAACAACCTCACCTTGCCTTAATTTGTTAGAAATCTCTTCTTGTTCTTTTATCCTAAGGGAGATGAATAAAAATTGGACACCATTCTCTGTGTGATATTTCATTATTGTCCTAGAGGCATTTGTTCCTTTTCTATTCAAAACCAGTAGCAAACCAAAGCACAATGTTTCCACCGTATTAGTCCTGTTTCCTCCTTATTTGGCCTTCTGTGAAGTCTGCTGGTGAGTGTGGTGAACTTGTAAAGATCTTCAGCCTAGAAGTTATTAGGCAAAGTTACAATCTTTACCTAAACAATCTTTACTTTCAATTCCAAGTCCTTTTCCTGAAATTAAAAAATCAATTATTTATATCTATACACCATCTATCTATCTATCTATCTATCTATCTATCTATCTATCTATCTATCTATCTGGTTTTGGGGCACAGTGCCCAGCTACATTTTTCTATTTTTAGTAGACATGGAGTCTTGCTCTTGCTCAGGCTGATCTCCAACTCCTGAGCTCAAGGCCTCTTCCCGCCTTGACCTCCCAGAGTGTGCTAGGATTACAGGCATGAGCCTCCTGCCTAGCCATTACCTTTTTTGTTAACTCAGACCACTCTCATGCCTCACCTGCACCAGTGAAATTTCCCAAGTGGTCTCTCCTATTTCAACCCTATATCACCCTCCAAAAATTCTTAATTTTTAAATAATAATCTTATTTTTTTTAAATAAAATATTTCAAACATTTAGATAAGAGGGGGCACTCTGAGTTTATAAAAATGTCAACATTGTACTATATTTGCTTCATGTAGCTTTTTACATGGAAGAGTACAATACATTTGACATTTGTATTGTTCAGCAAGTCAAGAGATCATAATTCCTTTACTTTTTCTTGATCAATATTCAAGCAGTTTTGCAGTTTAAAATTTTGTAATTGATGTTGCCGTGAACATTTGCACACCTCTCTACTGTGTATGTGCGAAAGTATCTCCCTGGTAAATATTCACCAGGGAGCGTGAGATGTGGAGCCTTAGGGCCAACTTTTAGAAAACAACTTTTCTGTATTTTATGTAACTACATTATAATCTTCAGAAAAATAAATTATTCAAAAAATATTATTGAGTACTTACCATATAATAAGATGAAGCAGTAAATAAGAGAGACAAAATCTCTGCTGCCTTTGATTTTATATTCTAGTTGAGGGGAGAACAGTAAACTTGTAAGATAATTTCAGAGAATGCTAAATATCCAAAGCCATTCGTATTTTTCAAGATCTTCCATGGTTGTCCACTAAGGATTCAATGCAACTCCTTCCAGGCTCAGAGGCCTGGTGCCATTTGGCCCCTGCCTCCCCTTCTATTCTCCCTTTGGCTCCCTATGCTCTTGAGTTTTTGGAACTCACTGAGATTTCCCCTGCTCAGGACCTTCGTATGCACGGTTCTGTGTTCCTGGAAAGTTCTTTTCACCAGTCTTTGCTTGGCAAATCTATCTCAGCTTACTTGCTCTGTGTTCAGAGAGAACTTCCTTAATCCCCATTAAAATAGATCCCTCCTATTAAATCTCTCCCCGACCTTGTTCTTTTCCTCCGTACCACTCTCCGTAATGTATCATTTTACATTTACACGTTGTCTGCCTTGCCTACTAGATTGCAAGTTCTATGAAGGCAAGGATGAAGCTTTTTTGCTTCCTGCTGTGTTTTCTAGCCCAGAGCCCAACACATAATGGTTCCTCAAGGAATAGAAAAAAACTAATCAAATTAGTATTTCCTGAAAGTTTGGTTGCATGCTTATTTTGAGCAGGAGATTTGATTTTGTTTGGGTTTCAATTTCCCTCTCTCTGTTTGGCCTCTGTCCCCCCACCCCCCAACTGAGGGTTTAGGGTACTCCTCCATGGGCCTTGTGGTGACATTTAAGGACTTCTGTTGTTGATATTGGAGATACTACAAACCTAGTCAGAAGGCCAGGAGGTAGCTAGTTGTAGTATTTTTTTGGTTTTGAGGCTTTCACCATGTCCACAGCCAAGAGATATCCTTACATAAAGTCCAGAACTGTAGCAATATTATGTATAGTAGAGAATAGCATAGCATAGCATAGCATAGCTTAGTGTAGCATAGCATAGCATAGCATAGCTTAGCTTAGCTTAGTGTAGTGTAGCATAGCATAGCATAGCTTAGCATAGCATAGCTTAGCATAGCTTAGCATAGCTTAGCATAGCTTAGGCAGCAGAGCTTTGTTTTTATTTTTTAAGACTCCTTTAGTGGGGATGGGGTATGGAGGGCATAGGGAAAAGCCTCATTCTAATCCATGGCTTGAAATAGTTTATCATCAGCCTGGATCCACTTTATCATTTTCCTTCCAGTATTTTTAGTCCCTGTTACCCTCTCCTTCCTTCCTTCCTCCCTTCCTTCTTCCTTCCTTTATTGTTTTCACTTGAAAGTAGGTTTAAGGTATTGTGAGGTTTCACCCCCCTGATACTCTGACGTATATATCCTAAAAATGAGGACATTCTCCTGCATAATTGCAACAACACCACTATCACACCTGAGAAAGTTTATATTGATGCTTTGATATGATCTAACATTCTTCAACTGCTGCTCCCAAAGCATCCCTTGTGGAATGCTTATAATTTACAGCAAAGGGTCACATACTTCATTTAGATTTCAGGTTCTTAAGTTTTCTTTAAACCAGTGCAACTCCCATAGCTTTATTTTGTTTTTATTTGAAAATTTTTTTGTCTCTCACGATACTGATATTTATGGAGAACCCAAGGTTGAGCTTCTGACAGAAGGACCAGTAATCTGTTTGTTTCATAATCTTCTTTTCCTGACTGATTAGATTCATGTTACACACTGGACAAAACCACTTCCTGTTCTTGGTGATATCACATCCTTCCATTGCATCACACGTGATGTTCTTTTATCTTATTAATGGTGATGCTAAGTTTGCTTACAAGGAGTCCCTGAGTTTTAAACATCTCACTGACGTACAACTGGCACTTAAGAATGGAAGCTATTACAGGCAATAGATAAATTTGCCTGTTCTGACTTACATACACATTCAACTCAAGAACAAACCCATAGAACCTATCTATCTTGGTCATAACCCGGGAACTGCCTGTACTTGGTTAGGGTGGTGTCCACCAGGTCCCTTCATTGGGAAGACTCCTTTTGCCTTCGTAATAAGAGACTATGTGAATATTCTGTTTAGTGATAACTTTTGCTCAGTGGTACTAGCATCCACTGATGACCCTTCCCTGTAAACATAATCATATTGGTAATTGCAAAATACATGTTACCTAATTTTATCATTCCTTCTAAGTTTTTTAGCTGGCATTCTGTAGAGAAGCCTTTTATCTCCTCCCCCTCCCCACTTTTTGGAGTATTTTGAAATACATTATGAACTCCTAGGTTCTTTATTCACAGGGTCATTTAAACAGAAATAGAGTAGTTCTTTTCCAAATATTTTCCCACAGGGTTTAATATATCTTTCTTATATTTTTCTCATATGATATTTCATATTCAGTTGTCTTTGCGAAATAACATATTTTAGTAAATAGCACATAGTGGGGTTTCCTTAAAAACACTCGGTAGTTGGGTTTAAAGTCTCTTCCTTAATTTATGATATGGTGGCAATTTATTATTATTTATGTCCTCTTAGTGAATTAAAGACAAATTAAAACTTGTTACTGTGATTAACAACCCATGGGGAAATTCCCAGTGCTAAAGCGTCGTATACAGAAATACGCTTCTCTCTCCTCCTTCCTAACAGCAATTCACAGGTAGTTAATGCTTTCTTTGCCTTATTTTAGGATCGAAGATTCAATGATGAAATTGACAAGCTAACTGGATATAAGACAAAATCACTGTTGTGCATGCCTATCCGAAGCAGTGATGGTGAGATCATTGGCGTGGCCCAAGCCATAAATAAGATTCCTGAAGGCGCTCCATTTACTGACGATGATGAAAAAGTAAGATTTCATGCCTTTTGTGACTTGCACTTTCCTTCTTGATCATTGATTGCTATTCTCCCTTCAAAGACAGGAGTGATGTGAATGGCTGTTGGATGAGCCCATTCATAGATCAAAGAGCTTTTTCTCATGTTATGCAAAATGTAATGGGAGTTTTTTGATATTGCATAAAATGTAATGTAATTGAAAATAATTACTTCCTTTTTTTCTTAGCTTGCTTTTCATTACAAGCCTCAGCAGTATTCTTGTTACACCCTGGTCTTTATTTCCCCTGTAACTAAGTTTTTTAATTGATGATCACACCACCAGCACACATGGCCTAAGGGAAGACAGGGAATAGAGAAAGATGACTCTGTTTCAGAAACTCAGCACTTTCTCTCCTGCTTTTATAACGGTAATGAAGAATTGTTTTCTCAGTTCTTATATAAACATCTCAATAAAATGAATGTTATTTAATTGTTATTCCAAATTGCTAATAAAAAGAACATTACTTTTGTCCCTGAAGAGCAGTTGACCTTGGGAGAAGTAATGTATTTTTTGTTCTGAAAGTTTAAGTTCTTTCACCAGTAGTTCCTGTGCCAGCTTATATTAAGAGAAAGAGTCCACAAAGAACCGAAATTCTGGCTTTGACGTTCTCACTTCATATTGGATACAATGTGGCTGAATATTTACAAACTTTGTGGAAAAGCAAATCTCAAATTATTTTCCAAATATTTTATGTTCGATGATCCTCATGTTCCTATTTGATTAAAAAGCACGTTATCATTCAACCTTCTGGATGTGAGTTTGCTATTTGCCAATGCTAATTACTAATACATTACATTATTGCAAATGTTCTGATATAGAAGGTCAATATGAAATGTGATTGTAAGGAAACAATAAGGTTTTTGAGGGAAGAGAGTCCTTGGTTGAGGGAGCTGCCTAAATCTCAGTAAAAGCTATAAATTTGTAGAGCCTGATAGTACCTCAGATGATTTCTTACCAATTCAGTAAATGATCACAATGTATGTGGGGGTCATCGGAAGCACAAAGATAAACCCCAGTCTTGTTATGCCATCTAAGAGCTACAGAAAGCAGGATGCAAGGATCATCAAGATGCTGTTCTAAGACATGCTATGAGTGCCTAGGAAAGACAGGGTGATTCTCCCTTGGAGGGTATAAAGAAGCTTCTTGGAAGAGATGGTATTTGATCTGACCTCTGATGCCAGAAGTCAGACAGAATGAGCTGAGAAGGAGAGGATGGTTAGTAATGAACATAAATGTAGGCCGCCTCATTCACTGTAGAAAGACTTCCATGGAAAGCACAGATAAAAAGAGTCTTGAGAGAATGTGCCTCTTAATAAGGATTTAGATAGAAAGATTTGGGTTTTGTGTCTTTCAAGAGTAACTACTAGGTACCCTTGGCGTCCCCCACACGGTTTAGTTTATACACAGGTGGAGGCCCTACCTTCATTTAAAGGGATCTCTTTATATATTTCAGCCACATCTTTGGTTTCATTTATGCTATATTTGTTTTCTCTACTTTTCTCAGTGGATATATACTTAGGAGATAGGGTTTCATGAGTTCTGAATGATGTAAAGGGAAGTTTACACAAGGTTTTGTGCCTTTCTTGAATAGCATCGTGTTTAGCTCTATTTAGAATGATAGCCTGGGACTGGGTCCCTGGGACAAGCACTGTTCCGGGTACCCACTTACCCTCTGAGTCAAAGTTTCTTTACTCATTAATTAAATTGTCCACCACTAGGGAAGGAGAACTAAATAAGACCACAAATAAAAAATACTTTGCAAAATATAAGAAACTAGGCAAGTACAAAACAAAAATACTTCTATTTAATGTTTTCTTTACGAGTTTTAAAATATTCCTTGAGCTTTGTCACGTATCTCCAAGAACCTTGTTTCTTAGATTCCACCTCATTTTAGAATTTCCTTGTTCCCAATGTTATATTTTTCTGTTCTGCAGTTATCCCACGTTCCCATAGGACCTTTGCATCTTCCAGCCTTGACGATTTCCTCAACTGATTTCAAACCCCTGCTGTAGTTTCACTTCTTGGAGAAGCCTTGCCAGTTAGGGCAGGTGGATCATGTTCACGCAGGTGACACTGGGTGGGGAGTATTTTATCTCGACATCTTCCGGATCTGGTTGTTACTCTTTCCTGCAAGGTTTCTATACATGGTAAACCAACCAGGAGTGGGGTGAAGGAGAAATCAGGAAACGAAATCTGAAAATGATTAATGAGAAGAACGAAATCTAGAAGCTGCTCTCAAACAAAAGAGGATAATAATGCCTAGGTGGCCTACTGGCCATAGGGCAGGTCTAGGATGGGTTGAAATTCCATCTCTGCCCAGGCCTGTGTACCCTTGGGAAAGTCACTTAGCTTCTCTGTGCCACAATTTCCTCCTTTTAGAAGAGGGGTGAGACTCCTACTCCCTATGTCATGGGCTACAGGGAGATGAACAGAGAGAGCACCTTGAACTCCTCAAAAAGGATTAGCTTTTACTGACAGCACATTAATACACGGGAGATACAATCAGGCCTCACTTGAAGAAATTATCTTTGTATAATTTAAGTCCATAAGTTTTTATTAAGCGGAGGTTCTGGGCTGCTGAATGAATACATAGTGGTTTGTGGTTTGGGGAGGGTAGTACGTCTAGAGAGGGGATGGGAGCTCTGCATCCCTTCCCCTATACCTTGCCATATGCATCTCCACTATCTAGTTTTCCTGTGTTATAATCTTTTATAGTAAACTGGTCACCGTAGTGAGTGGCTGGATCTACAAATGGATGAGGACCAGACCATACACAGTGATAGAACTCTCACCCACATTCTCTGCAGCACTCAGGCCAGAGAGCCAAAATCACAGTCTCCGCAGCAAACTGACCAGCCAGTCAGGATCTGGTCAATGACTGTGGCTTCCCTATGTTTTTGCACCCATCCTGCCCTCCACCCCTGCATGCTTTTAACTCAGGGCCAACCAGGGAAAGTCAAATATGGTCTCTGAACTAATTAGCTAAAATCCCTGCTTGTCAATAGCCTGCATTCAGCTTCCCTGTGCCAAAGCCTCCAATCAAAGCATATCTAAACTCTTCTCATTTTTTCACCATAAAATTTGCCCACTCTTCTTTCAATCTGCCAAATACAAGTGATGGCAGCTGACTTCCTTGTCATAACAAGGTCTGAATACATAGCCTCTGTGAGTCCTCATTTAAAAAAAAAAAAAGAAGTTTTTAGGGCTGGGTAGGGGGGCTCACACCTGTAATCCTAGCACTCTGAGAGGCTGAAAGAGGTGGATCATTTAAGCTCAAGAGTTCAAGACCAGTCTGAGTAGAGCAAGAGCCCATCCCTACTAAAATGAAAAAAGAAAAGAAAAGTTAACTGGTGTGGTGTCACATGCCTGTAGTTGCAGCTACTTGGGAGGCTGAGGCAAGAGGATTGCTTGTGCTCAGGAGTTTGAGGTTGCTGTGAACTATGATGCCATGACACTCTACCCAGAAACGTTTGTATTAAACACAGTCTATATGCCAGGTACTCTTCTAGTGTTGGGCTTTCACCAGTGAAAGGGTGGATATATTTCTGTATAAATTCATAATTCTCTTGCATTATTGCTAATGCACTGATTGTTTTACTCATCGTACAAGATTATCCTTATATATGATAATTTGTATTCTACTTTTTAACCTAAAATCATTTCTCATGTATATGTCCCCAAGTGAACATAGTCTACATTTTCCATTTGGAGGGTTAATAAAGTTTTCTTTTTTTCTTTTCTTTCACCTACAGAGCCTGGTTTGCTTAGTCATTGTCGTGTTACCGAGAATTTGGTGGGGGTTTTGTTCCAGTTTTTCATTAATACAAATAGCTGCTGAATGAAAATCTTGAACAAATTACCTTTTTCTTTTTTGTTATTACCTTGGGCTATATTCCAAAGACTAGAATTACTAAGTTAAAGGGCAGGAAAACTTTTAGAGTTCTCATTCCATATTACGTATATCAAATAGCTTTCAAAAATATCGGACCCATTTCCAGCAGCATACATACACCTATTTCTCAGAGATCTGCAAACTTTGTTGAATTCTTAGTCATCTAAGCAGATTTTAGCCAACTTCCTCCCACATGCAACAGTATAAACTCTAGTAAGAGAGGTGATTTCAGTGTCACCTCCCAGTAAAGAAACAAGGCAGCCATGTCCTGCATATTAGGTAAGAAAGTCCCAGGCAAGTTCAAGTCTCTGCTGCTTTTTCAGCTGAGTGACCTTGAGCAAGTTACTGAATCGGTCTAGGCCTCAGAATCTCCATTATGGTGTTATAATGAGAAGTAAAATAGATAATCGACATAAAGTGCTTAGGGTAGAACTTATCCACAAATGAGCTTCATGACATCTCACCATATATTTCAAAGCCAGACTAAAGTGTTTGAAGCCTTAGTTGTTGTTTTGATTTATGCACACATAACTGCCATGCCATCACTCATTCGGGTAATGGTGAATTTATTGCACATTAGCATAATATGACTTGTACGCCCTGATATCTTAAAATGTTGACTTCTGGAGACTACGAATTAGTTTTGGTATAATTTCAAAATATTTTGCGAAGTGACAATCAGTAGATTATTTTCCAGAGATAAATTAAAAATTAAACACAGTCTATTCATTTCCCGGCTATTCTCGTATGCGTGCATCATTGTGCATAGATCACACACGTGTGTTCATGTATTCATGCAAGGGGTGCGTGGGATCATACTGTGTTTCTTGAAAATTCCCTACCTATAAATTGAATGGCTGTGTTATATCATGTGATAATTGTAATGGCTGTCTATATCGTGTGATGGCTGTGATGTATCACATAACATATATACATATATATCATATAATAGAACAGACAAGAAAGATAATCAAGTTTATTCCCCACCCTCACCCAGTGCAGGGATCTTTACCTGACAGATAATCACCCAGCTATAGTCTGAAAACTTCCCTCTTATGACTTTAAATTATCATGCTCTTTA